ATTCCCATTCAAAAGCAAAAATCTTTTGACTCTCGGGGGCTAGGGGAAGGCAGAAGAATGCGTCTTTCAAATCTAATACGGTGAACCAGGCCAAATTATCCTTTAGTCTAGTTAAAAGCGTGTATGGGTTAGCAACTACCGGATGTAAGGTCTTGGTTATTTCGTTTACTGCTCTCAGATCTTGAACTAGCCTATAAGCCCCATTAGGTTTCTTTACTGGCAGGATTGGCGTATTAAAATCCGATTCGCATTCTACCAATAACCCAAGTTCTAAAAACCTTTTGATTATGGGCTCAATCCCTTTCCTGTCTTCTATCCTCAGAGGATATTGTTTTCTTTTTACCGGTTTTGCCCCAACTTTAAGTTCAACAATAATCGGTGTTGCTTGTTTTGATCTTCCCGGTATATCAGTAGCCCAGACTAATGGGTATGTCTCGCTCAAAATTCGCTCGGAATTGTGATTCCCAGGTTTGGGTTCCACACAACTGATTGTTAGGCTTAAAGCTGTAATCAGTTGTTCCTCATTTACTTGAAATTCCAATTTATCTTTGTTGAACTTTATTATGGCTCCCAAGTTTTCCAACAGGTCTCTCCCCAATAAGGGCTTTGGCGAATTTGGTAAATACAAGAATTGGTGAATTCCCATTTGTATCCCGATTTTGTATTTAATAGGTTTCAAAAAGTAAGCCTTTTCTGGTTGGCCTGTTGCTCCCACAACTTGTACAAATTCATCACTTTTGGGTACCAATTCCTGATTTAAAACCGAAAAGGTTGCTCCAGTATCAATCAAAAAGTTCAATCCTTTTTACCTTCCCCTAGCTCCATTTTAACCAGTGGGTCTGCTAGGGTACGGCCCACCGGTCCCCCTCATTCGCTATCTTGATGTGTGGTAGTAGTGGTGGCCATCAGCCTTTCCCTTAGTCGGGGGCATTCTTGCTTCCAGTGTCCCGTCTCTAGGCAGTAAGCACACTGATTTGGCCCTACTCTAGTCGGGTGGGGTTGGAGCCTCCCCCTCCCTCCTACTGGGTTGCCTCTACCTCTTCCCCTAGTTCCAGGTTCCAAGTAACCTGTCCTCTGAGCTGCTACTGCTACAGCCACTACTCGAGCTATCCTCCTGTCCTCCTTTTTCTTTTCTTCAACTTCTCTATTATTGTATACCTTCCATGCCTCATTCAGCAGTGTCTCCAGGTTCTTATTTGCTGGATGCTCGAGCTTTTGTAATTTCTTCCTGATGTCTGGGTTACTCTGTCCCATCATTAACCCTAACAAGTGCTGTTTCCCTTCTTCTGTTGCTGGGTCCAGGGGTGTGTATTGTCTCATCGCTGCCCTAAGCCTGTCCAGGAATTCCGATGGGGTCTCATCTTTTCCCTGTCTGATGTCATATAGCATTGACCAATTGATAGCCTTAGGAATCGCATTACGCAAGCCCATCGCTATCAGTTTTCTATACTGCACTAATCGCTGATAGTGCTCTGCATTGCCCGGGTCCCACTCTGGTTTACTACTGGGAAAATTATCTTCTAGTCTCCCTGATAGTACTTGAGCATGTCGTCTTCCCGTTTCCAATACGAGTTCCCTCTCTGTATCCGTCAATTCCGACAGCATCACCTCTATATCTTCCCAATCAATATCTAAATTTTTTGCCATCAACTCAAATCTCTTCGCTACCCCCTCTGGATTCCTCCTGAAATTCTTTGCCTCATCCCTCCAATTGTTTAGATCACTTGTCGAGAATGGCACCTTTACTCTAGTCTTCTCCCCCACCATTGGCATAAGCTGTCGGAGAGGAGCTATCGTATGGTTCCCTTTCTCCCTTTGCTTTGCTTCCCCCCGTGCCACAGATCTGGTATAATACGAGTGACTGATCCCCTCCCCGGGATCTTCTTCCTGCGCCTCAGTGTCTCCCCTATTCTTTCCCTTCTCTTTCCTCTTTTCCCCTTCCTGTTCTTCATCTTCACCTCCTATCTCTATTACATAATCCATCCGATTCTCGTCTTGCATCTGTCGCCCTTTCTGTATCTGCCGGCTCCTATCCTGTCCTGGGCTGCTGTCCCTCTCGTCCTCTGCTCTTTTCTCATCCCTCTTATCTTCTATCTGTATTATTATATTCAGTTTCTGTGAGTTGCTCTCTACCTCCTTTTCGCCTGTTTCATTATTATTCTTCTCACTGTATCTCAATTCAGAGACATCGCCTCTCAATTTAGAGAGGTCGCTTCCCGGTGAGTTATTTTTGTCCCCAGTCTTTGGTGTGCTGGTCTCCATTCTACAGATGCCTCCACTTCTGGATGTGTCGTTATCCCCATATGGACTGAGTTCGGGCAGGCTACGTGTCTCCCTTCGGCTCTCTGCTCCTGATGGACTGCCTTCCCCCCCTTCGATTTCCAATCTGGGTGGGCTGTCAGCATCCATGTAACTCCCCGATCCCTGTGGACTTTCTAGTCCCTGAGGACTATTTTTCCCTTCATCGATTCCTGATTTTAATGGGGTACCTTCCTCCCAATTGTTGTCTAGTCTCTGGGGGCTGTGTCCAAACCTAGATTTCCACCATCGATCCAGTTCCTTTAATGGGCTAGGATCCCCTTGTTCCTCTTTTGGCCTGGGAAGAGGTCCTTCCCGCCCTGGAGCAAAGGGATGGTATTCCCACAGGCTTATTTCACTCTCCTTTCCACTGTCTCTTCTTGTTAACTTAAGACATTGTTGCCCAATGCTACATGCATCACAGCAACGTTCTTCAGGCTTTGAATCTTTCTTATCTTTTTCTAAGGCTAACACTAGAGGGTCCTGAGGTGCTACGTTTACCCCGCATTCTTTCTGCCACTCTGGTTTATTTCTTAGGGTAAAGAACATGTCAGCATACATCACCTCGTCCCATTTATTAAGCCGGCGGAGAAAAAGCATCAGTTGTAGAATAGTATTATAATTAGTTGTTCCCTCCGGCGGCCATTTGTCATTGTCATCTAGTTTATACAATGGCCACCACTGTGTGCAATATTTAAGGAGTGTTTTCTTACTTAAGTTTCCCCCCGGAATTCCTCCCAAGTCCTTCCAGTGCTTTAGGATACATCCTAAGGGGGTTTTCATATTCACGTCCTTACTCTGTTGACCTCCCATGGCTATTCTCTACGTCTGTGTTTTTGGTTTAATCTCTTTCCCGCAAACACTGTATGCCAATTTATTTTAACACTTCATAAACACAATTTCCAATCGCTCATTCGCTCTCATCCATACCCACACTCGTTAATCCAAACTGTCCTACCTTTCCGGTCTATCAAAGTATACCGCTTTACCACGAGATGTCGTTGGCAAACCGTATAGTACCGATACTGGTCGACTTCGGGCTGTCACAAACCCGTACAAACAGCTGTAAATCAAGGTACAGTTTGCAGATAATGTCACAATAAATTCTTACATACACAAAAATTACAATTGACACAAAAATATCGAATCCTTGTCCCGCAATTCAAACTCACGTCTTAGCAAACCACAAAAATGCTTGCAGACAACATAACGATATTAGACAAAAGCATAACACAAACCTTTCCTCAAAACCTTATCAGGGAAAGGGAAAAATTGGACAGGGTCCCGGGCTTGGCTGGATACGTTCCCGGGCGTAGTTCAAAGATCCAAACAAAGCAACAACATTTAGAGATTCAAACAGAGCAACATTTAAGATGAAAGAAAAACACACTCTTTTAACAAATACTCCGATTCCAAATGGGGCTACCAACCCCAATTCCAAAGGGGACTCTAACCCCAATTCCAAAGGGATTTTGCCAAGGCGTCCCCTGGCTTTCCCGTCGGGCGACCATGTCTGGTCCCCGTTTCCCAATTAAAGCGCTTTATTCCAAAATCAATAAGCAATAAACAATTAAAATACCTCTTAATTGGAGCAGGAGATGCAGGAAACCCTTCGTCCACCAAAGAGCGCTGGTCCGGGGGGGGAGCCTCCTCTGACAAAATCTGTCAGGGGCGCCCGGAGGGTCCCGGCCCCGGGCTCGGCTCCGGGGGACTCCTTAAGGCCCCGATCTCCCGTCTGTTCGTCCCATCTGGGTCGCCAGAAATGATACCGAATTTTGCCCCAAAAGGCAAGAATAACTGCCTAAGAGACTCAATTTAAGTCAGCATAGACAGGAGGTATTTTATTGCGACGCGTCGGAGAAATCACAAAGGGATTTCTCAGTATCTCGTAACCGAAGTAAGCCTTTTATACAGTTTTGATTATGAAGTTACATCATATTACATGCATAATCATGTTTTTGCATACATATTCATAAGAGGCGTGGTGTAGGCGGAGTGTGGGCGGAGACATCTCTTTTGAGGATCATTTCGGTGGTCGTTCCGGTTGCCTTCATCATGGGCAGGGGTCACCTGATGAGTCTTCCTCCTTAAACTTTTGAACTCCTATCCTAATATGGCCAATTCCCGGTGTACTTGGCCTGGTCCCATGGCTTGGCAAGGTTATTAGGGTCAGTTTGACTTTGTTGGCTCTGAACATGCTTAGCCCATCAGTTCCCCTATCCCTATCTCTCTTTCTTGTCATAGTGTTCCATGCCTTAACTGATTTATTGCTCTATATGTTTCCTAAGTGCTAAGCTTTCTTTGAATGTTTTACATTCCATGTTTTAACTCATTATTTCTTGAAGGCTATCTGTTTTGGGGCTTCAGCAGACACGCGGCAGCTGCAGCTCCTGCACTTCTGCCTCTTGCTGGCCATCTCCCTTGCTGCCCTCCTGGGCAACGGCCTCATCATCAGCGCCGTAGCCTGCGGCCACCACCTGCACACACCCATGTTCTTCTTCCTGCTCAACCTGGCCCTCAGCGACCTGGGCTCCATCTGCACCACTGTCCCCAAAGCCATGCACAATTCCCTCTGGGACACCAGGGACATCTCATACTCAGGATGTGCTGCACAGGTGTTTTTCTTTGCCTTTTTCATGTCAGCAGAGTTTTGTCACCTGACCATCATGTGCTATGACCGCTACGTGTCCATCTGCAAACCCCTGCACTACGGGACCCTCCTGGGCAGCAGAGCTTGTGCCCACATGGCAGCAGCTGCCTGGGCCAGTGCCTTTCTCAATGCTCTGCTGCACACAGCCAATACATTTTCCCTACCCCTGTACCATGGCAATGCCCTGGGCCAGTTCTTCTGTGAGATGCCCCAGATCCTCAAGCTCTCCTGCTCCAAATCCTACCTCAGGGAACTTGGGCTTATTGTGCTAAGTGTTCTTCTATTTTTTGCTTGTTTTGTGTTCATTGTTTTCTCCTATGTGCAGATCTTCAGGGCTGTGCTGAGGATCCCCTCTGAGCAGGGACGGCACAAAGCCTTCTCCACCTGCTTCCCTCACCTGGCCGTGCTCTCCCTGTTTATCAGCACTGCCTTTTTTGCCTACCTGAAGCCCCCCTCCATCTCCTCCCCATCCCTGGATCTGGCCCTGTCAATTCTGTACTTGGTGGTGCCTCCAGCCCTGAACCCCCTCATCTACAGCCTGAGGAACCAGAAGCTCAAGGATGCCCCGAGGAAAATGATGACTAGCTGCTTTTGAGAGGCAAAAAATGGCCTGTTTTCTTTTGCATAGCTTTTGGAATGGAACTCATGAAAGGCCCAACAGGCCTTCCTGGGTCTTTGGTAGGGGTCAGTGGGGTTTTTAGTCATAATGTTGTACTTGATGAAGTTATTTAATCACCGTCTAATTCACTGTCTTTCTCTTGAATTTGACCCACAAGCTCTGTAAACCAGGGATTGGGCTATCGCTACATTTGAAGAAAAGAAGCTTCCTTGCAGTGCCTGTTTTATCTGGAATTCCAACTCTGAGCCCTGTGTGAAGTTAGGGGGAAGAATGGGAAAAGAGTCCCAGCAGAGCAGCATGGCCAGGGAGCAGCAGGGATTGGTCCTTTCAGAGCTGCTCTGCCCAACTGCACTCTGTCCTTGCCAGCCCTGCTGTGGCTGTGAGGCCCGAGTGCTCTGGCAGCTTGGTCACTGTCCTGCTGCGTGTCCCTGCTGTGGCCACAGGCCCTGCCAGGCCGTGGGCACTGCTGGGACACAGCTGGGCTCCAGCACAGCAGCTCCAGCAGCAAAGGGCATCTCCTGAGGGCAGGGCAGGGAGGCTTTGCTCCCCTCCAGAGCTGCTGTCAGCAATGTGCTCCAGGAATGCCCTGGCACAGCAAAGCCCAGTGCCTGGGGCAGGGGGGAGTGTGTAGGGGGGGCTCACAGCAGTGTCCTGGCACAGCCAGAGCTCCTGGCATGGACCTGAGGCAGCAGCAGAGCAGGGCCTGGGCTGTGTCTCTGTTCTGGGGCAGCCTGGGAAGGTGCCCCAGGGCAACTGTCCCACACCAGCCCCTGCAACCACCATTGCCAGCACTGGCCTCTCCCCACCTGCAGGAGGTTGTTTGTCCCTGCACAGAGGGACACCAAGTGACCAGGCCAGCAGGCCATGTTTGCTCTGTGCTGAGGAGATCTCAGCAGTGCATCATGTGTGTGTGTGGGGAGATGAACCCCAGTGAGCACAAACACCATCAGCAGCACCCAGGGCTGGCACAATTCCAGTGGCACAAACAGTGCCTTGAGGCCACTTCACTCTGAGAGTAACGTCCTCTGGGAAAACCCCTGAATTCTTTGCTGGGTTGTGGTTAGGACTGCATAGAGAGAAATATCCCAGGCAGGGAGGCTCCAGGAAAAAATGCTCAGGGCAGTCATGGAGTGCACAGAGAGACACTGAATAGAGTGAGGGTCTGTGGGGAGAAATCAGAGCTGCCTCCCTTCTGAACCAGCCCGAAGACCTGGACAGGGCTGTGCTGTGTTCTGGGCACTGACCTGGAACTGAGGGATGTGGAAAAGGCCTTTGGTGTCAGGGCTGTTGAGAAGGCTGGGCAGCGTCACTGTGGGACCTCTCTCAAAACCCTTGGAAAGGCCAGAGCCATCCCAGAGGGTCCTGGGCACTTGGGAAGGGTAGACATGGAACCAGTCTGCACACAGGGCAGGGACAGGGACTGGGAGAGTCACAGCCTGCTCAGGCTCAGCAGGGAAGGGGATATGGCAAATCCTCCTGCAGCCATTCCAGGCACTGGCAGGACAGGGCAGGGACTGCAGAACCCACGTGGGAGGGAACAGAAGGGGATGTTGTGTGCCCAGAGTTCAGCCAGGCCTGGGACGGGGTCTGCTGTGGTCTCCTCAGAGCCAGACTGGAGAGAGCTGGGCTGAAGGAGTGGAACATGGGCTGGGTGGGAATTTGGCCGAACAATGAGGGTCAAATGTCATCCATGGTACAGAGTCCTCTTGGAAGCCACGCCCTGGTGACATCCCTCAGTGGCCAGCCCTTGGCCACCACTGTGGAATATTTCTATTGTCTCTACAATGCCATGAAATATACTTTCAATTCCTTTGTGGATGCTGCCAAACTGCAGGGACTAAACTGATGTGTGACTGACACTCAACTCATCTAGTTAATGGTGACTGCAAAACATAATTGGGCAAGATGACTGAGTTGGGTAAATTTATCTTGCCATCAGGCGCCAAGCAAGCCACAAGAAAGGGCAGAAAAAACTCATGCATCAGAGCAAAGTCAGTTCAATAGGGAAAAACCCAAACCCAACCAAAACCTAAAAACCCCAAACCTAATCAAAAAACCCAAAGCAAGATCCACCCACAACAACACAAAAACCCCAGAAAAAAACCAACCACAAAAAGAAAAAGGCCACAAAGAGAAGAAAAGCAAATTCACAGGAAATCTCCTATCAGCAGAAAATATTTAACCACCTTGTGGCAGGAGAGGATTCTGCATGTGTAGGTGATGTTTTGAAAGAAAAATGTCTGAAAAAAGAAATTTATCCCCTACCCCCCTTGACCCCCCACTTCTCTCAGTTGATTGCTGATCATGGTGTGACATGGAGTGGAACATCCCTTGGGTCAGTCCAGCCTAGCTGTCCCATCCCTGTTCCCCAGGAACACTTGCCCACCCCAGGCCCATAGGTTGGGGGGTTGCAGACGCCTCATGCGGGGCGAGCACTGAGACAAGGACAGGAGACCAGAACAAGATTTACTCTTGTCAAGGACAGTAGAACAGAACAGCTCAGCCTTGGAGAAACTGATTGAGGATGTACCTATGGCAAACAGAAGTCACACAAAAATCAGGCAGGATGCCAGCTCAGCTCTGCAAGGCTGACAAAGCAGAAGTTATGCAGAACAATACTATTGCCCTTACTCAAAAGGAGGGTTCAAGGAACAGCCACCTAAAAAGGGCACTGGATGTTGAAGACAAAACCCAAAGAACCATAAAAGAATTTGTGATAAGGTGTGCAACTATGTCAAATAAACTCAAAGGAACTGGGGATAGCTAATGGATACATAATCAGTGTGTGTGATAAAAACACTGTTCATTCAATGCTTAATGCACTCCAATGGAAGGAGGATGGCCCAAGTGACCACCATGCTGTAATGAAGAATGCCTGCTTTCAAATACTCCAAACTCTGTTCAGAAGTTTCTATCCAGTGGATTTCAGTATCAGTGGTTTCCTTGACTCCCTTATGCCCCACAGTTTCACAATGGCCCCTTGGTTCCATGAGGCCCTGCTGTAGAACAATGGACCCTTGGTTCCATTGGGTTCTGTACTGTCAAAATGGCCTCCTTGGTTCTGCACTGCCACAATGCTCTCCTTGGTTCCACAAGGCCTTGGTGTGTCACAACAGCCCCTTGGTTCCATGAACTGCCAGAGTGTCACCCTGGTCTCTTGGATCTGCAGTGTCACAATGGACAATTGGTCACAAGGAGCCCCGTTGTGTCACCATGAATATTTGGCTCCATGGAGTCCCACAGTGTCACAATGGCCCCTTGGCTCCACGAGGTTCCACAGCATCACCATGATCTCCTTGAATCCGCAGTATCTCCATGGACCATTGGTTCCATGTGGCCCTGCTGTGTCACAGTAGTTCCTTGGTTCCATGAAGCCCCACAGTATAACAATGGAATCTTAGTCCTGTGAGGTTCCATGATGTCCACAATGGTCTCCTTGGTTCCACGAGGTTCCATGATGTCACAATGGTCTCCTTGGTTCCACAAGGACTTGCTTTGTGACAATGGACCCATCTTTCCAGGAGCTTCCATGGTGTCACCATGGTCTCCTCAGATCCACATTGTCACAATGGACAATTGGCTCCATGGGCCCTCCTGTGTCACAAAAAACCCTCAGTGCCATGAGGTTCTGTGATGTCACAATGGTCTGCCTGGTTCAACAAGGCCCTGGAGTGTCACAGTGGCTACTTGGTTCCAAGACCTTCCATATAGCATCCACAATGGTCTCATGGTTTCTGCAGTAATGGACCCTGGTTCCATGAGGTCCCTAAATGTCACTGGTCTCCTGGGTTCCATGTGGCCCTGCTGTGCCACCATGCCCCCTTGGTTCCATGAGTTTCTGTACTGTCAGCAATGGTTCCTTTTTTCCACTGAGGCCCTGCTGTGTCACAATGGACCCTGGGTTCCATGAAGTTCTTCAGTGTCACAATGGCCCCCTGGACCCTTGAGGTCCCACAGTATCACCATGGTGTCCTTGGATCCACACTGCCATAATGGGCCATTGTTGCAGCCGGAATAGCTGCTAATAAAGCCCAGGGTAGGGAAGCAAAAAGGGCCTTTGCATGGTACCCACAGATGTTTAATTCAGCCGTGGGATGTTCTGGGTCACAAGGCAGGACTCCTGGGGGGAGTCCAGGTTTCTGTATCTCGAGAGGAAGGGACTGATCAGTGCCATGGGGGCAGTACAAAGATGGGGCCAATGGGGGAATGGGGAGGGAGAGGCTGAGGGAGAAAGAACAAGGGGAAGGAGCCAATGGGGTCAAACAGCTTTTGAGGGAAGCTTCTTGTGTCTCCCTAACCCAGGGAATGCCTTTCAGGGTCTCCACAGCTGCAGAATGTCAAAACGGCCCCTTGGTTCTTTTGGGCTCCTCAGGATCCCAGTGGCCCCTTGGCTGCATGAGGCCCAGCTGTGTCACACTGGCCACTTGCTTCCACTGGGTCCCACAGCGTCACAATTGTCCCCTCTTAGATCCATGAGGCCTCACAATGTCACAATGGACCTTTGGTTCCATCAGTCCCACACTGTTCCAAGAATCCTTAGTTCCATGGGGCCCTGTAGTGTCGCAATGGTCCCTTGCTTCCATGGTGCCACACAGTGCCACATTTGCCCTTTGGCCCAACAGGGGTTCATAGTGTCACAATGGACTCCTTGGTTCTATAGGGACACAAAGTGCCACAATGGCTCTTTGGTTTCACAAGGCTTCAAAGTGTAAAAATGGCCTCCATGGTTTCATGCAGCCATACTGTGTCAAAATGGACTTTTGTTTCCATGATGCACCACAGTATCACAGTGGTCAGCTTGGTTGTGCACTGTAAGAATGCCCCATTGGTCACTCAGAGCCCCACAGTGTCACTATTGTGCCCTTGGTTCCATGAGGCCTTGCTGTGTCACAATGCCCTTTGGTTCCATGAGGTCCCATGTGTCATAATGATCTCCATGGTTCCATGAGGCTTCGCTGTGGCTCAATGGCCCCCTTGGTTCCATGATGTCCCATAGCAGAGCAATGGTCACCTTGGTTTCATGGGGTCAGAAAGGCCCCTTTGTCCCATGGAGCCCCACAGTGTCACTGTGGTCCCCTTGATTCCATGAGGCCCTGCAGTGTCATGGTGGCTCCTTGGCTCTATGAGGGAAAGCAGAATCAGAATGGCCCCTTGGTTCCATGGAGCACCACGGTGTCACCACAGTCCTGTTGAT